GAGTTATTCCGTGATAATTGCTTCCAAATTTTCACTTCGTGATACATGTAAATCATTTCCGATTTATATGTTCGTTTTCCGTGATTTATAATTTACTATTTTACAATATATCCATTATATGTAGTGATGACATAAAAAGAATTGTGGGTACATTTCGACATACCTTTCTATTAGAAATCCTCTTGTGCTTTTTTCTCGCTCTAGAGAGTGTTCTTCCTATATATGCACCCCAGAATTAATTCATCTTCGTCAATAACATAACATATATAGCTAATTTGTTCATTTATTGCTTCATCTTGGATACCAAGGAAATGGATTGTGCTTATCTGTTGATCAGATGGACCGTTTGAGCTCAGTCATAACCAATAGTTAGTAATAGTATAAGTAGTAACTTGTAAACCCTACATTTGGTATATTGTTCCGCAATCTGTTCTTTCATGATTACCTTTCAGTTACAAGTTCTTGAAGATAGGAAAGACTTCATCAATTGAAAAAAAAAAGAAAGTCAAAATGTAATTTCGAAGGCCCTTCATTCACAATTTAAATTTTCCATTGCATCACACCCTATCGGCGAGGCCAGATTTACTTTTTTTGGGAATAGGAAAACTATAATAATATTTGGTCTCAAAAAATTGTAATCCTTCAAAATCAAAAATAAAATGATCAGAAGGATGTCAAGGATTAATGTTATTGACAATCTATGTATATGTATGTTGTGCGTGAAAATGAAATCCATGTGAATTTTGCAATTCACGAAATTAAATTAGCATATCAAAAGAAATTTCAATTTCATGCACAACATATCCATTTGTTGAAATGACATAATTGTTAAATCCAAAATTACTTTTAAGGTTGTTTTCATCATATCCTTTCATCAACGTGAAAAGTGTTACCATAATTTTCAGAAGTTCTCTTTCAGAGTTTCTGAAAATATTCTGTTCTTACCAGCTGAGCTACGGGTAGAGTACAACTAAAAGGTGACCAAGGAAATTCTATTGTATGTGACCATAAAATCAATATTAATGCGAAGTTCGAAAGTTGATCAGTGGCCTTTTTTCAGTTTAGGACGTGATGATTTACAAGACCTAAACAAAAATGTGCGAGTAGCCTTTATGAGGATTAGTATCCTTTAAATTGCTGCTTTTTAAAACACAATAATAATAGTTATTGTTGTTTACCCCCTTTAAATCCATTGGTCAAAGCTACTTTCACGCGTGATGTTTTCTTTGTGTTATCACGTGATTTCAGGGCCGCAAATCTATTAAAAGTAATTTCCCTAAAAAATAGTTTTTTTATATAAAGTTTTTTTGTGGATTTTACTTTAGATCTAGAATTGTTTTGCGTAATTATGTTCACTTTGTCTGCATCAATGCTTTCTATATTAATATTGTATATGGGAAACAACGGGTAATTCTTACCACCCGTTCTTTGTTTTTTATTATGACTATCTAATCCTAAACAGTTGAATTAGTGTAACCGAAGTATGTTGAAACAAAATTGATAATTCTTTACTAAAGAGTTTCAATAATTAAAATGATGAATGATTGATTGAATAGAATCGCACAAAAAAGTTTATTTTTAGATTGACAAAAAAATAAGGTCTAGCCATTTCTAAAGAACCCTAAAATTGCTCGATTTTCTGCGTTGTTTCTCATTCGTTAAACCCTCGATCAGCTAAATATAAATTCTGAAGAATTTTTTTTTTTTTAAAAAAACTAAATAAAGTGCATAACAACAAGACCACAAAGAAAATAATATAAAATATAAGGACCGTTTTAATTTTAATAAATTATTATTATAACAGGCACCATTTTTTATTTTATTTTATTTTGTTTCAAGTTCCTCAATCTATTATTTATTATTGTTTGCATTAGTATTTTTAAATCAATATTTAAATTAAACACTTTCCTTTAACAATTATAAAAAAAAATTTTTAAAGATAATAATAATAATAAACTTTTTAACAGAATGATATCTCAGGCTGCTAATAGATCTATTCGTAGAAAAAGGAATATAAATCTTAAACTTGATCATTCTCCTGTCGTTCAAAACCAAACAACTCCAGATACAAATGGTGAAATAGTTAATGTAAGGGATGGGCTTGCTCAACGTTTAACTGACTTGGAAATTGGTCTAGAGTTTAGACTAGATTTAAAGGAAGAAGATTTAGTTCAGTTAAAGGAATTAGGTGCAGGAAATGGCGGAACAGTATCACAAGTTATGCATATTACTACAAAGACCGTGATGGCAAAAAAGGTAAAGAAAATTATAATGATAATAATGACAATAATAGGATGACAAAATCAATAATATATGTATGTGTTTAGTATTTATGGGTTTTTTTTATTTTAGATTTTTAAAAATTTATTATTTAAAGAGATCCATATTTATAATACGCGTATGTTAATTAGTAACTACGATTTATATATCGACCAAAACTTCTATTTTATGTATTTGGCTCTTGTTCATTCGTCACCCATTGCATTTATTATTATTATTGTTGTTGTTGTTGTAAATTTCATTTGATTAAATTGGGTATAAATTACTCACACACTCTCTCTCACTCTTAGATTATTCACATCGACGCGAATCCAAATATTCGTAAACAACTTCATCGTGAATTGCAGATTCTTAATGATTGTAATTCAAGGTATATTGTTTCATTTTATGGAGCATTTATGACTGATACAGATGTTTCAATGTGTATGGAATTTATGGATGCTGGGTAATTATCATTATAATTATTATGTTTTAAATATTGGGAATTATTAATTAAATTTTTTCATTAATATAATAACTAGCTCACTGGACAACATATATAAAAAAGTCGGGCCAATTCCTTTAGATATACTTGGTAAAATTACGATAGCGGTATGTCTTGGGTCGTTATTTCTTTTTTAAATTAACCAAGTTATTTTTTTTGATTTGAGCGGTTAAGAAGAAAATTAGAAGATTTTTATAATTGATTAATTACTTTACTACAACAATAATAATAATTAAATAGGTGTTAGAAGGTCTAAATTATCTTTATGAAAGTCATAGAATTATTCATAGAGGTGAAGTTGACATCCTTAATGAAATATTTCAAGATGAAATTTTTCTTTATCATTATGGACTTTTATATTAATGTCATATTATTAATAAGAACAGATGTAAAGCCTTCAAACATTCTTGTTAATTCAAAAGGACAAATCAAGATCTGCGATTTTGGTGTATCTGGTCAACTTGTTAATTCAATTGCTGATACTTTTGTAGGCACGTCAAATTATATGTCGGTGAGTTATCTAAATTCTAATCTATATATTGTTTCACATATGTTATATGCATATTTTAAATATATTCATTTTTATTATTTTAGCCTGAACGTATTCAAGGTGCAAAATATAGTGTCCGTTCTGATGTTTGGTCAGTTGGTATTACGTTGATGGAATTGGCGTTAGGAAGATTTCCTTTTCCACCAGATGGTAGTCAATTAACAGTTTTGGAACTTTTGCAACATATTGTAAATGAACCTGCACCGAGATTACCGCAAGGACAATTTCCAGAAGACATTGATGATTTAGTTCAAAAATGGTATGTGTATGCCTTCATTCTTATTTTTCCCAACGATGATTAAAGTCACATATAACGTCATTGTTTATATGTATGTATGTATGTGTGTATGTGAATTAATGACAAAAATTATATTTATATTTATTTTACAGTTTAATAAAAGATGTTAATGTACGACCTGCACCAATTGATCTTTTGGTAAGAAATAAATAATAATACCTAGTTGTGTGTGTATAATATGTATATATTTATATTAACAAAAAAAACGGTTCCCTTATTATTCTACCGTATCATTCTATAATAATATTAATAATATAAAGAAACATCCTTATGTCAAAGCTTCAGCTGAATCCAAAGTAGATGTTGAAGCTTGGGCCAAAAGTCTTAAGAGATAATTAATTAATATTAAATAATTAATTTAATGGTAGAGTATTCTTTAAAAAAATTTTTTTTTTGGTGGGAAGTAATAGTATATTTTGTTAATTGATTTGATTAATTCGTACAGATATTAAAAGAAGTTATTAACTTAATTGAAGAAAATAATTTGGTTAGTATTTTATTTTAATTCATTAAAATAAAATTTATAGTTGTTGTTTTTCTTTTACAATTCATTTTAATTGTTTTTATATTATTATTATTTATTTAAATCGATTATATTTCAGATAGAATGTCATATTATATATTATATTATAATAATTTTTCTTTTAATACATGTTTTTGCGATTTGAATACTTTGTGAAATATAATTAATGAATTTTAGTATGAGTTTGTCAATGAAACGTTTAATCGACGATCCGTCTATGAATCAGTGAAATGCTTATCCTTTTATTTAAAGAACGGAGGATATAAGTTTATGGATTTTTAACCCTACACTTAATAATAATAACTCCAAATTATTAATTGGTTATTCTGAATGAGTTATTAATATTAATAGGACCTCAGATAATTATAATTGAACTGATATGGTGAAATGGGGTAGAGTGAGTGATCTTGTAATAAAATCTTCAAGCATTTGCATAATAAAAATCAAATTTTTTAAAAACTAACTTGCCATTTTTAGTAAAATATTCGGGGTAGAGACTATATTTCTTACATATATACCAGTTCAATTATAATTATCCGAGGTCCTATATTGATCCATTTTGCCGATCAATCACCAGTGTATATTAAATATTAGTATTAATATATGTGCGGAATGTGTGCTAACAAACTTGGCAAATTTGTGGGATAATAACCAAATTTGGTTAGCACGTCTATCCCGTATATACACGTCAATCACCTATTTCTTTAAAACTAAAATTATTAATCAATTATTAAATAAATTATTAACTAATTGTTAAATTAATTTTAGTTTTTTATTTGATTAAATGTAGAATCATATGTTATTTGGTAGTATGTTGAAATTATTATAGGTAAAATTTATGAAAAAATAAATATTTTTGCTCATAAAGATCTGCATTGTAGAAATTGAGCACGGACGTTTGTGTTACATAAAAACTGCGCACATTTTGTTGATCACTACCAAAAAAATTTTCTATATATAGTTGGCTTGTCTAAGGCCTTCTAAATTTTGCATAAAATTTAAAAGCATAGAAGTCACTTTCTGTCCTACCTTTTTAAAAAAATAGTGTTATTAGTTGATAGAATAGGGCTTTAGTTTTAATTTGGGGCATGCTGTAACAAAACCGACAAAGTGAATATTGTCTCACAAAAGAAATTTCAGGGATTAATCTAATTATTCAAAAAAAAATTTCATATTCTTTTTCTACCAGCAAAAATAAAATCAGTATTAGTATTATTATATGATGATAAACAATATGTGCAATATTTATTATTAAGGAAGGATTGAAATCTATTTCACTATAGTCTTCCCAAATCAAACAACTGAAATGACTCATGATTGCCACAATATTTTTTCCAAGTATGAAAGTTGAAAATAAATTCTCTATAAGATATCATCAGTACAGTCAAGAAACTATATAACTACCCACACATTTCCAAGAAATCATACTTTACTCTTTTAGGTGGTGGAGTGAATTTTGTTTCAAAAGGTCGAGATTTAACAGCTTTTTTTTGGGAGGGATGGAAGTACTGCTTTCAGATTGAGGTTGAATTTTGCTGGTTGTCTTTTTAACACATTTTCAATCTTGACAGACAATTTCTTGCAGATATGAAATTAATTGCAACACATTCTCAATATCAGTCTCAGCATTATTGGATTTAAGATTTAAAGTGAGTTTATTCCTGGTGTGAATGTATAAAAGAGTTGACTGTTGTTGGTTGAATAAAGGTTCAAGAGTACTGAATCAAATGCTTGTCCCATTGACTAATCCAATATGCATGCATGTTTGATTTACTTCATCTTCTGTTAGAAAATGTCCCAATGATAAAATATGATTGAATTCATGCACAGCTTCTGATACTATCACCACCTCATCTTTATGGTTTTCGAATCCATTCTGCTCAAACTCAATTAGTAAAAATGGAAACTGTGTATTTGTCTGGTTGTTTACTATGGCAGCAAAGTCAGACCATGATGAACCATCTCCTCCATGACCTGGAAGAAGAAGATGATACTCACATATTGGAATAAACCTGGAATTATATAAAGTGAAAGCATTGGAGAGAATTTTTGTCCAAAATTCAGCTTTAACATGGTTCTCTGATGGTTCACTCCCAGGTCCTCTGCATGGTGTAGA